GTGGTGCATGCGGTAGTGGTTAGACCATGGCCCTGGCATCCTTAAAAAGCGGGGAGGGAGCACGCGGGGTTTTCCCGGGACCAGGTTTTCACATCACCAAGCGGGGGGGGGGGGGGGTTAGAGTAAGCGCTCAATTCCGGTGCAAGTCCGGTGCAAGAGAGCCCGGAGGTAGTTGTTACGAATGTCGAAACAAATCCTGACGCCCAGCTGGCTGTTTCCCGAGTAATGTCGAGGAGAGTTGACACCCGATAGACAGACACACGAAGCAGGGGCGACACGAGCCAGCCGCCAGTGGCAATTCCGAAACGGATAACTCTCTCAAGATGTTATCGCGAGGCAGTAGGCAAAGGGGGGTTGCTAGCGGTAGAGATGGTACAGTACCGGCAATAGTTTCCTGTGCGAACCCGGATAGGAGGACCTCTTCAAGTGTATACAATGCGCGTGCGGGTGTGTTTCTGTGCTTTGTACTCTCTCTTCATGTTTGTCAATAGTTACTATTATAAATAGGGAAGACGCGTCGCATGGCGTCGGGGGGGGGGCATGGGATGATCCCACGGGTCCTGCTTAGACACTGTATAAAACCACGCGTCCCGAGTGTCCTACAGTACCAATCAAAGACGACGCGGGTTGTTTTCCCTCTCGCCAACAACGTTGCCTCGCCTCAGCTCCGGACGAAAAGCATCTCAATATTTCGCCGGACACATATTCATAGTGTGCCGGAGCTGAACATAGGTACTGCTGTAATTCACCTTCTTCTCGACCTCGGTGTACATCTTGAGCAGGTTCTGTCTGCGGTCCGTGTAGGTGGACGGAAAGAAGTTGGGGAAGAACCTCTGGATGAACGAGAACACCAACACGTGACCGACTGAAGTATCGTCACAAGCAACAGGTTGGGGAGAGCGGGGGGGGGGGGGGCAGGGAAGGGCACAATGAGGGACGCGGGGGAGGGGGGTTACAGGACGAAAGGGGCAAAAACCTCCAAGTTGATGGCGACGGGCAGGCAGGCAATACTAAAATCTCTACTTCGTTGCACTTCGTCAGGTGCTCGTTTCGCTCAGCAGCATTTCAGAGTATTGTACAGAAACGGAATTAATTGCAGATAGATAACAGACACCGACAATGACGACTCAAAATTACATGGAAAAAAAATGTGTGTAGTTAGTTGCTCGCCCGCTCCGAAAACCTGAAACACATCCAAGATTTATCATGCAGCGAACCGCCGGGAGAAAAAGAGAGGGGAGGGGGGGGGGAGGGGGAGACCAACAACAACATTGACGGAACATCAATTGAGAGGGACAGCCATCAACAACACCTGTCGCACAGCAACCAACTCAACAGCATCGTCATACAACTCAACACAGGATGTATGTGTGTGTGTGGGGGGGGTGTACTCATAGTCGTGCATGCCGTAGTCGTTTGACCATTGACCTCGCATCCCTACAAAGCCGGGACGGAGCACGCCGGGTTCTCACCGGACCAGGCTCTCACATCACCAAGCGCGAAGCGCCGTGAGGTATTTGGCGAGTCGCATGAAGGGTGAGCTGCATCCTGCTAAGGGTGTTCGGCAACTTGTGCTTACTTCCTTGCGTACGGATGACAGCTACGTATGACTAAATTTATTTTTTGGTGCTTTCACTTCCAGAGACAGTTGTAAGCACTGTGTAACTGCCTCGAGGAAGCTCGACCATTTTAACACATGTGTGTGTCGGGGGGGGGGTTGAGGTTGGCGTCGGAGGACTCGGGGTGCGGACGGATCCACATGCACACAGAATACCAGTACGAACATACGAGGGAGAGGGACAGAGAGACAAAGAGAGGAGGACTCGACTCACCAGGCGAAAGAGGGATGATGAGGATGATGACGAACGGGATGAACGTCACACAATCCTTGGCAGTCCGGCGAAGCGTTCGAACCTCGCGGGGATTCAGGATGGATCCCTGTTGCCACAAGGAAGAAACCGCCAGCCAGGGTGCAAAAACACACAAAATCAAAGCGAGACAGTGAGTGAGACCGGGGGAGAAGTAGACGTGGGAACGCCAGGGGTTTCCGAAACGGGAGAACCACCACAGGGTGCTCACGACGCTAACGCGCTTCCGGCCTGCCAGTATATATATACAAAAAAAAAATCCGGTTTCCATGTTGTCCACGGCTCGAAGGAACCGTACAAAATATAACCTCCTGCGGCCTTTGAAACGAAAGTCGACACCCCATAAGTACAAGGTACTGGCCGAACGTGTTGCCTCGTCTACGCACAACACTGCGTGCGACAATGTGCAAATGCCGCTGAGGCTGGAATGTGCCGGCCGGGGAATTTCGATAAACAGAAATACATCCAGCAACACAGCAGCAGGTGCATGCTGCATAATCGACCGGAGAATCTGTTCCAAGCCACCTACCTCGCCGGCACCTTACACCTTAGACTTGATCGGATGCGATAGGCGCCTCCTTCGACCGTACACGGACCGCTACCGACACCGCTACCGCTGCTGCTGCTTCTGCTGTGTACCTTGCTTCCACCGTACGCGGACCCCTACCGCTACTGCTACCGCTATCGACACCGCTATCGACACCGCTATGTACCGCTACCGCTGGTGGCGGTGGCGGTGGCCGTGTGGTGTGTGTACCTGCACGGCCTTGGAGACGAGCGTGAGGGCGTACCCGACGTCGTTACCGAGGATCTTCGTACCGGTCCAGTAGAAGTCCAACCCGCTCTTGATCTTGTCGTATGTCTCCTTCGCGTATCTGCTCTCCCCATGCCCACCAAAAACGGACAGCAGTGACGACAACACACACACGCAAGAACAGCAGCACACATTTACCATAAATTAATCTACAGCACTTAGATTCGACCGTACCAGCGCCAACAACGGTAAGCAACCGCACCACCAACAACGGCAACGATAAAAAAAAACAAAAGAAGCAACAACGAAAACCAAGAATAGCGACGATGACAAAGACGACGACGACAAACACTACTCGTGCTTGGTGTACTTTATGGTTGTGGTTGTAGTTGTAGTTGTAGTTGTAGTTGTTGTACTTACCGTGAGACCTTCTCCGGGTCTACGGCGAGCGCCGGGCTCTCAAGGTCCAGCCCGAGTCGGTTCTTCAGATCGACGACCTCCCGGCTCACCAGCTGGCGTCAGTGCCGGCACAACGGCGACGACGAACGACAATAAAAACGAGAGGGGGTAGGAGTAAGAGAGACAGACAGAGAGCAATAGAAGAGAGGGGGGGGGGGGGGAGTATGGTCTCAACTACGGTTCAAGAGTCGAGAGAGAATAATCAACCAAGGGTCCGGTGTCTCTCTCACGCGTCCTAGATCATCACACGGATAATTTTAACGCACTCGCCAGGCCGTCCGTCAGAACAGCCTAAGCGGTTGTCAGCACTTGTCAGAGAGCGACAACGTGCTCAAAATCGGTCGAACGGGCCAACAAAGCAACATGCCCCAACATACGGCGCAGTAGAACGGCAGAACGTTTCCGTCAGGCACGTCGGCCAAACCGGGTGGCCGGCATGGCCGGCGTAAAACAATCATCTGGATGTGGACAAGAGGTGAAAAAGACATGAGTCGTGTCTTGTGTAGGTAAAAAAAATATGAAAAAACGAGAAAGAAAAAGAAGCACGTCCGTTCACAAGAGTAGTAGTAGTACCACCACGGGACACAGCAGCAGCAGCACTACACTACCACACCACACCCATCATACCTCGAGCTCGTCCTCGTCGACAACCAGCCCGTCCACGCCGTACTCCGTCTCCCCCCCGGTCAGCTCGGCCACGAGCTTGGTCAGGTTGGCCAGCTGCGCGTCCAGCAGGCCGAACTCCGCCACGAGAAGACGGTACTCCGACAGCGACGAGGGTGTAGACTCGCGGATTTCCTAGTGTTTTGTTGGGTCATCGGGGCGGGCGGGGGCAGGGGGGGGGGGGGGGGGGGGGG